CTTGACAGTATCTTTTAGTTTCCTATTTACACAAATATTTTATATATAATATATTTTTAAATTAAAATGATTTATAATAATAATAGTTATAATAAACCAATTTATAATAAATATATGAAAGAAATAAAAATAGTATATGTATTACAATTAGAAGACCTGATTAAACCATAATTTCAAATTATTTTACATTTTAAAAAATTTATATTACTAAAGTCTCAATCTAAAATAATTTGTTTCTAACTGGAACTTCTTCTACAGCAAACTAATAGCTTTTAATCCGCGCAACGCTACTAAAATCTCTTTTATTTTTTACTCTTCTTTGTCTCCAACAACCCATCAACATTCTAATATCGTCTTACATCTTTGCTAAATAATATATTAAATGCAATTTATTCATGAAAATTAAAGTCATTTATGTGGCAACCTTAAAAAATTTTTTCAGTTACATTTTTATAGTAATGGATTTTTTGTAGTGCTGAGTTGCATCAGATTAAAATGTAATAAAATAGTTAAATCCTTCCAAGCTGTCAGCAAACACCGGAAAGAACATTAGAAACTGTGTACCGAGCAATTGCACTGTCATCCTATGAGGAATGACAACGTTGCAATTGGAAAAAAATGTTAGGACGATTGTAACAGTGTAATGGACTGCACACAACAAACCCAATCCAATATTAAGGAAAAAATTAAAATAGTAAAATGTAGAAGAGGAAAAAATATTAAAAATATGCGGACAAGAAATGCTATATTAAATGCAACTGCCAGCACCAGTGGCAGTGCCACCAATAGATGCTGGTTTCTTGTAATCTGGCAGCATTCATGCGGAAATTAAATTTAATGTTGCCACGCGATTTGTACGGCTGAGCCGTAGAGTTCGTGCAGAATGCACTCTAACAGTGATTTAATAAACTTAAAGTATCAATATCATGGAATTTCAACTCAAAAGATATAAAAAGCTTAAGTGTTGAAACTCTAGTTACATGTATAGGAGCTGATATTGATATACAATGCAATAAATATATAATTTTTCTATTTATTCTTCAATGGATCTTGAATTTTTCTATTTACATGGTAACAACCATTATTAAATAATCAGATCAAAATAATAAGTACTGAAGGAATAAAGCAGATTTCTCTTTATGAAATAAAGGAATTAACTAAATATTCGAAAATAATTGTATTCATTCATATAAACAACTTTTTTATAATTATAAAAGTATTAACACTACAATATCTACTGTTTTAACATTAAAATATATAAAATAATGTTTATTTAGCAACCCACTACAAATCGATTTAATTCAGAAAAATAATAATAAATAGTTTATCAACTACAAGGATACCAATTTTGTGGTTCCAGAAGTAAACATGTATAAAACGCATATAGTGGTGGTCTAACTATCGTCATCAAAATAAAAATAGTATACGTATACGTATATATTGATCCAAAAAAAACTAAGAATGCAGAGCACTGGACACATGATACTATGAGTTCATCTATATCACTAGAATATCAAGCTGATTTAAGAAATCACTGTATAATCACACACTTTCCAATTCTATAACGTAAGGCCATTATTATTATTATAATTAGTTAAATGGAAATTACTAAAAACCGTAACTCACTTGGTCTATTGAGCTTACTGGTATTCTTTTAACCGATCATTAGGCTTACAATGCAATAGAGCACTTTTGTATTATGCGTTATGAGTAGCAATAAATCTTGGAAAAGTCTGCTGCTGCTCATTTTAGCACATTAATAAGAAAAGTGTTCAGATGTTTCAACATCCATTTCATAAAAGCGGTAGATACTTATCTCTCAATGACTCATTATGTTGAGTTATTATCTCAAAATCCCCTGTGAGAGTTTCGATATTCTCTTTGCTCAGTGTAAAGAGTCTTTTAGAAACCGCCTCAGATGAGTTCATGAATCTCTAAGTTTGTTTTTGACCTGTGCCAAAGCCTGAAGTTTTTGAACTTCTAGTCTTCCCAGTATTTCAGTTTGTTCACCATAGTACAAAATGGCTTAGTTTTAGTTCATTGATGTTTGATTCTTTGTTTGGTAAGTTAGTTCCTTTCGTTGTGTTCATGTTCTCCATATTCCGTGACCTACCAAAAGATAAAATTACATTGTTCCAATTCACTGAGGAGAATTACGTAATGGCAATGGTATGTAAATTGTACCCAAAAGAACTCCATTTAAAATGTGGTCCACATACATATTGGAATTATATGAATTTATATGAAAACTATGAAATAAAAATTTGGTTTTAAGTTTTTTACTCGTTTTCAGATAAAAAAATTCAAATTATTAAATTTGTTGGAATTTAAATTGCGCTGAAAACTAAACATTAAAAACATCATTACGTATATAAAATTTCATTTTCATGAAAATATCTACATAAAAAAATGAAAACAACAAATTATTCTTATTTCATGTAGAATCTCAAGGATCAAATTTTAACAACTAACGTATGGCTTGAACATGAATGGCAGGATCACAAATTCAAATGGGACCCTTCAGAATATGGTGGCGTTACAGAATTGTATGTACCATCAGAACACATTTGGTTACCAGATATTGTGCTTTACAATAAGTAAGTACAGAATATGTGTGTTCATATACATAAATATTATTTGTATAAAAACGTTGAAATAAAATTTAAATTTATAGTGCCGATGGTGAATATGTGGTAACAACAATGACCAAAGCTATTTTGCATTACACAGGCAAAGTCGTTTGGACACCGCCAGCGATTTTTAAATCCTCATGTGAAATCGATGTACGTTATTTTCCATTTGATCAACAAACATGTTTCATGAAATTTGGCTCTTGGACCTACGACGGAGATCAGGTATCACTTATGTAAATTTACACTTAAGCCAACGACAAGAACATTGCCGTAAAGCTTAACTATTGTATATAATTTAACATCGTCTCCTTTTTCTGACTGAACAACAGCAAAAAGGATGTGCTCTGTACTTCCCAAAAGTGTTAAAATATGAAAATAAAATTAAGAAAAAATCAAAGCCATTTTTATTGTTAGTGAATGCCATAAAAACACGCGCACATCATAAATTTACAAACTCGAGTCAGACGAAAACAGCGTGTGAGCTTCCCTTTAAATTTTTTGTTGGTGGGTAATTTTGGTTTGAATTTGGTTTCGGTTGTTACTTGAAGCTTTCACTTCAGTGCACAGATGTACCCTGAACGGAAATGGGTACGCTACTTAGTTTTACCACAATGCCACGCCTTTTTTTTGTCCTCTGACAAAAGTGTACAAAAAAATTATTAAAATGCTTCCGCTTTGAATGTTTTGTTAATCGGCATCAAATATCAAAATCGTTAAGAAAAAGGCCAGTTGCAATCAAACGGCATTCCTAAGACTTTTGTCCTTTTATGATTTTATTTCCTTAAGGGTTTAATAGTATGTAATGTCCTTTTTTGTTTTGTTTCTTTACACATTTTTGTATTTTAGATTGACTTGAAGCATATAAACCAGAAAAACGACAAGGATAATAAGGTTGAGGTTGGCATTGATTTACGTGAATATTATCCTAGTGTGGAGTGGGATATTTTGGGTGTACCTGCAGAGCGGCATGAAAAATTTTATCCATGTTGTGCAGAACCTTACCCAGGTAAGCTACCGAAATCCATTAAAGAATAAACAATAAAAACTTTTATGTTACGATTGCTAAGACAATTAAAATTTTAAAAATAACTATAAAGATGTGAAAAAAGTAGATTTACGACAGATTTATAAACTTAAATTGTTTTACTATGAACGAAGGGACTAAAATGTGAAAAGTGTAGATATGAAGTGGTATTATAATGGATTTAGGATGGAAGGAAATAAAAAAAGATAGTTTATTATAACTGGATACCATAATCAGTTCTTCTTTTTAACATTATAGCATTATATTTCTTTTCTTTAATCCTTTCAGTACTCTTAAAAATAGTGAAAAATATATATCTGATACATAAAGAAATTAAAAAAATTATTTCCATCCCTATCCTTCATAGAAATAATATCGACAATCCATTGAAAAATTCATTGCATCATTGGAACAACAGTTTTTATACCAAAATCTTACAATTTCTCTTACAAAAACTAGTTGAAAAATACTCCTACTAATGTTTTATATTGGATTATATCTTATTATAATGTAATGTATTATATTATGCATTATGTATATTGGATTATCTACAAAAAATTTATAAAGTAGTATAATAAAATTATACATTATTTTCTTTTTTTGTATATATTATTATATTCTTATATATGATATAGAGAATAACAATATACAATACAACAATATAAATAATAATAATAATTTATATCTATGTTGTATTGAATTTTCTCGGGTAAAATAGTCACAAAAATAAAGTAGCGGAATTATAAAGCAAGTCATAACAATTCAAGTAAAAATACGTATGTTATTGTATATTGAGAATTGTTACGAAAGTGCAAAATATAATCTGAGACAGGTTTCCCACTTGGTAAGGCAGACATAGCACCACCAATGAACAGTGTTAAATTAAAAAACAAATTTATGCAATTATATTATATTATATAGTATTATATAGTGCAATTATATTATATAGTATTTCATTTACATTCACATTTTTATGAAATTTATTTTAAAATAATCCTTCAGCAACTATATTCAAATAAAGTCAATTGTCACTTCGAGAATATGGCATTTTATTAGATTAAGAAACAGATTAGGAAAATTTTAAAAAATTGCTTGAAACTGAACATTTTTTAATAATTTAAAATTATAACCACAAAATCTCCAAACCTATAAACATATTAAACATCAAATTAAAGGATTTTTATTACACTTAAAATTAGTCAGATATTTAGTTGAAAATTTTGAGACATATTAACTTATAGTCATATAAATTTCATATAGTAGAATTAATTTCATAAATACGACATGCCAATTCCTTCAGCATTTAATTGCTTCTTAAACCAACTTATCATTTCTTAAATGTATTTCATTTAATATGAAAAAAGTCTTTACTACATTGTTGGGTTAAGACCAAACTTGGCTTGTTCAATGTTCCAGTATCTAGAAATCGTGAAAAAAAAGTAGTTAATTCAAATAATACTTAAAGTATAAGGCTTGAGAAATCGTAATTCAAGAGTGAAGTCACTGAAGAGTGTGATGAAGTGTTTCATTAAGATAAAAACTATTATCTTGATGGATAAAACTAAGTTAATTTTTCTTCCTGCACTGCTTGACCCACTTTAATCTTACATTTCTGCAACTACTGCATAAGAACTACAATGGTTGAAATATATATAGGGTCCTTGGCTACCTTGAAAATTGAAGACAATTTAACAACTACAGCTCATCACTTCATTACAAACAGTTCCTACCAAACAGGAGGCAGAGAACATCATCAGACAGAGTTGTCATCCTCAAATATCAACGTTCGAAATTCAAATCATTTTACCTTTACAAAATAATTTCAGGAACACAATCAATTGATGAATTGGTTTAAGTACATATGGGAACAATTGTCATCATATGATTATAAGGTAGTCATTTAGGCAGATAAGCCATTATCTAGTGAAAACGAAAGGAAACGTCTATATGAAGGAAATAAACACATACAGTTTCAATTTTATACATATACAAATTTATACAGGATGTTTTATATCAATGTACTTTATCCTCGAAAAATGATTTTTTAATCCAAAAAACGAAAAAAAAATTATTACTGAAGGAAAGATCAATTTTAAATTTTTACTAAAATAGAAGGTGTCAAAAGCAACACTGCCCCTAAAATATGAGGTTGAAAAATGCGTAACATTTTATTTTTATTTATTTTATTTACTTACTTATTTATTTAGCCATAATAAACCGTTACCGAGTTTCAGCCTAATACAGCGTGTATCCCTAAGACTTTCTGCTGCGTGCCTTCTCCAATCTCGTACATCAAGTCCAGTTAGTGCTCTCTCAACTTAATCACTCCACCATAGACACGGTCTACCTCTACCTATTCTTCCACCTTTTTCGCTGGAGCATCTTCATCCATTCTTACGACATGACCAAATCAGCGAAGTCGCTGAATGTTAATTCGCTGAATTATATCAATGTCGCGATAAAGCTGGTCATCATTGTCAATTCGTAGAGGACCAAAGATCTTACAAAGAACTTTTCTCTCAACTTTTATTTAGTATAGCTTAAGTCGTTTTGTAGTTTTTAGCCTTAATTTTAGCCTTAATATTTCTTAATTTGGTTTGTATCTAAATAGGTTCAAAAGTTATATTGGCAAGTTATTTTTCCTCAAATTTTTTCTTAATTTTATTTATTTTTGTACATATTCCTCTATGTTTATTTTTTGTACATCAATACCTTATTATCTTACAAGTAATTTTTATAAAGAGGTTTTCGAACAGAAGTGAAACAACAACAAAAATTAATTTTTTTTTAAATTATTTTAAATAATTATATTTTTGGCTGACCATACAGCTGTTTCGAGTATTGCCAAATACCCTTCATCAGTGGTCTTGGAAATAATTCTTATATTTAATTATTCGTAAATAATTATTTTTGAGACTGCAAGTACCAGGAATCGAACTCGGGTCCTGCCAAATATATATAAAATAAGTAATTTTTATTGAAGAATTTTTTTCTATCACCAACGTTTGTCTATAATCGACGAGTGAAGCGCAATTAGTTTATATAATTTTAATATGTAATCAGATTCCTAGTTTTTTCTATATAATCCTTTATAATTGTACTAAAAAAGAAATATTAACAAGAGAAGTATGAACTTTTGTTGTCTTGTTTATATACCCCTACACAGCTCCTTTTTCTAACAATTTTGAGTATATACTATAATAATTTATGAATATTATTTTCTGTTTTGAAAATTGTTTGACAAAATATTTTTAATACTTTTTAAGAACAATACAATTTATTACATAGTCGTAGCTTATAAATAAGGCAACAAAATGGAAACAATTAACGGATTAGGTTTAATGCAATTTGTTACTCCTTGGGGGTTCTTGAAATGACAACTTTTCAGTTTTTAATTAACCTTGAAGTAAAAATTTGACAAATAAAATGCAAATTTTGTATCCTATTTGAAGGCATAAAACATTTTACGCCAGAATCCCCTAAAATTTTAGATGAAAACTTTTCATTCCACACAGCGCTCTGCCACTCACACCGATGAATCCAACTTTAAGTAAAGTAATTAATTCAGTTGACCTTTTATTTCTGAAATGCTTTCAAATTCAACTTTTGGTTCCATGCCTTGACAGCACCAGAAAGTTCAATTATAATTTGAAAGTTGTAGTGCGCCTATTTAGAACAATTAATTTTTTAATTTGTTCGTTGTTTATTTTATTAATTATTTTTTATTTGTTACTTTTGTTCCAATTTAACAAGTTTAGTCGATATTATAAAATTTTATATGAATTTTATTTATGAATTTCTGGAAATAAATTAAACTGTGTCTACAATTCCAGAAAGCATTTGAGGATGCATTTTAGAATTGTGCAAATTTTTATTTAAGCAACTTTTATTTATGCCCCAAAAATCAATTTCTGCAGAATTTTATCTAGACATTTATGATTAAACTTGAATATAAATCCATATATCAATAAATATAAATTTATGCCAACTATTTTTGCAGCTGCAAATTTAAAATATATTCAATAAAATTTTAATTTGCTTTTATTATGTTGTATTATTTTATATGTATTTAGTAACAAATAATAATCGATTTATGTTCAAACGTACAAATGTGCAATGTTACTTTTTAAAGAAACAATTTATATATATTTGCAGTTGTATATTTATATCAGTTTCAAGCTGGATTTCACTTATAACATAGTATTTCTTAACTTTTCTATAATTAATAATTATAGTTAATTATTTAACTGACCCAAAACCGTACTTGACTTTGTGTGTTCTAACTTAGAGTTTGGTCAATTTATTGTAAAATTTTATTATCAAATTCACTGTGAATGGAACAATTGAATTAATTATAGTTATTTTTTAATTGTTAAAGAAATATACTATTCACTTGAAATATACAAGAAAACGTGATTTTCAGCAATTAATATGATTGTTCCACCCTTTCAGATATATTCTTCAACATAACATTGCGAAGGAAAACACTGTTTTACACAGTCAATCTCATTATTCCATGCGTTGGCATCTCATATTTGTCCGTGTTGGTATTTTATTTACCAGCAGATTCAGGAGAAAAAATCGCATTGTGCATTAGCATTCTATTATCGCAGACTATGTTTTTTTTGCTCATATCAGAGATTATACCGTCGACATCGTTAGCATTGCCACTTTTGGGTAAATATCTATTATTTACGATGTTGCTGGTTGGTTTGAGTGTTGTCATAACGATTATCATACTCAACATACACTATCGTAAGCCGAGCACGCACAAAATGGCACCATGGGTGCGTGCCTTCTTCATAAAGCGTCTACCTAAGTTGTTACTGATGCGCGTACCCAAAGATTTGTTACGCGACTTAGCCGCCAACAAAATCAATTATGGCACCAAATTTAGCAAGACTAAATTTGGTCAAGCACTAATGGATGAAATGCAAATGAATTCAGGTGGCTCAAGTCCGGACTCTTTTCGACGCATGCAAGGACGTGTGGGTGGTTGCAATGGTCTGCATGCCACTTCAGCTACAAATAGGTATAGGATTTTTCTTAAGCATTAAATAAACTTTTTATAATACAATATTTTTGCAAGGATTTTCCTTTTAATTTAATTTTGAAATATCTTTTATTATATTAACTTACACAGCATTTACTTTCATACTTCAATAATCGTATTGTACGTAATACTTTTAACAATTTTATGTGCAGATTCAGTGGCCTTGTCGGTGCGCTTGGTGGCGGCTTAAGCACACTAAGTGGCTATAATGGCCTGCCCTCAGTGCTCTCCGGTCTCGATGATTCTTTAAGTGATGTGGCACAACGCAAAAAATATCCTTTTGAATTGGAAAAAGCCATACATAACGTCATGTTCATACAACACCATATGCAACGGCAGGACGAGTTCAATGCGGTAAGTACAGCTTCATACTCTATATTTACAATTTTTTCTTTATTTTTCAATGTACTTTCCTTGCACTCTAGTACGGCTAGTTAAACATTTTTTACCATATCTTTTCGCTGTCATTTAGTATCCTTTGCAAATTTTTTTTGCAGATTGAATTTTTAATTGGACTTTTGGGACTTGGTGTTCTTCCTGCTGTTTTCGCGACTTATTTTTAGCTTCACATATTTTTCAACGTTGGTTTTCTTTTATTGGTTACATTCGAATTTTTTATCTCTAGCTACATTTTACAGTATTTTTACAGCTCATCTACTGCTGCTCTTCAATCAATGCTTCTGGCTGATGTGATGGCACGATTGTGCTTATGGATACTATAAAATCTTAACCACAGAACCAACACAGCCAACATTGAAGTTTTGCAATAGATTGATACTGATTGAGAAATTTTTAACATTTTTTCAAATTGCACTAACTTTTTTCCCCTTCAAGCAAAAATATCAACTTGTATATCGTTATTGTTGTTGCAAATATTTTCAAAGATACTCGTATCTTGGTTGAAATTGAAAACAAATATTTCAACTTCGTTAAATCCGCTTTTAATTGCTTTTGTGCAATTGACTTGCAGTTAGGTTTTTATTTCTTTTTGTCCTGAGGTTATCGTTTCAATCAAGTTTGCAATCCACTGCTACCGGCATTGTGTAGAAGTATGAAATAATCTATACAGCATACATCTAGGTGAGGAAAAAGCACGAAATATTTTAATAGCTAGTGTAAAATAACAATGGAAAGAAACAACTCGACTGCAGTTCATATTTTTGGCATGCGCTTATGGTCAATAGAGCACTACTCGACTATTCGCTAGGTTATGCATTTAATCAGCCAACTACTAGAGGTTAAGAGTAAAATGCTTTAAGGATAGAATACAATGCAAATTGAAAGTACAGATACAGATTTATTAAAAAGTTTTAAGAAAAGAATATGTTGATGTGAATGTTGACTACTATAGAACAACTTGATATACAATTGTATGAACATGACGTTTGTATTATCAGGGCCATAAACTTATTTTAGGATTAATACTGTACTTTCTGAAAAATAGGATTATTATCTTAAACAAAAAAAAATTTTATTAAAACTGTAGTAAGTACATACTTACATATACAAATCTTCAAACAACCAAGCTAAAGTAAAACGCTATAAAGCGCGTTCATATAAACGGGACTCACTTAAGCCTTTGTCCGTTGAAATACCACATTAAATGGCATTGCAACTAGTCTTTAGTTCGAATTTATCTTCAATTTCGCTATCCTAAAGCGAGAAAATATTTGTTTCAGTTATAAAAACATTGCAAGAGCACTGTTTTACTTTTTAGTCCTATTACATACTATAATAGCTCTGACTGTAGATACTATATATAGAAATAGACAGAAATATAAGTAGAAATATACCCTATATATATATGGGAAAACCATACACACTAATTCTCATCAGTGTAACTACCTTCAATATAGTATCATGTCAATAAACCAATTGTATTAGATAGGGAAAACAAATAAAGACTAATGAATTTTTTACTCTGATCTGATAAAAAGTGGATTATCTCATATCGCAATCGTAATTGTTTTAAACTTTCGGAGAGTAGTTACATGGTGTTGAGCCTAATTGCTTTAGTATAGCAAATAATACAGTATATGTAGCCAGAAGCAATCTTAATAATTTTATCTTAGCGTTCCCAACAATTTTAAATAAAATGAACCACCAATATAATGAAGTTATCATTATATATGACTAAATAAGTTTTTTTTATATAAATTTAGTATGGTACAGTATATGTAGTTGCACTATTATCAAATCATGATAAAAGTAATTAGTAGCTGTATAAATTTTAAAGTATTATGCCACTCCTATTGCCATAAATCGAAGTATAGATATTCTCCAGTAGCAACTGGTGACTATCTTGCAAAGGTTTCTCTTTTAGGGAATTAAATATAATGATATAATGATATAATGATACATTCTGATATATTTATCAAACGCAAAAATAAAAAATTATAAATTATTTTATGTTTCTAATATAAATACTATATCCTTTTAATTGTATATAATTGTAATTAAGGATTTTAATATTTTATAAATATAATATTTGATTATAGATAATGTATCATAACCCACTTAAGAATATAAAATTTTTTTTCTCATCAATATTATCAATTAAGATTATCCATTTACTATATCAATTAAATTAACAACAAAACATATAAAAAACTTTAGATTCCTTTTAAGTGAAGTGAATAAGAATTTCTTTAAATGTTATTGAGTGAGACTTCGTCTTTCATATTTTGTTATCGATTATGTTGTCCCCTTTAACTAAAGTATCCTTTTGAATATTTTATTATATTTTATTGAAAAGATTTCTTCATTGATATTTCTATAAAATCGTCTTCGTTTTTCTGTATTTTGTGATTGCACATTTCAAGATCTAATAGTGAAGTATAGGTGACGGGCATAGTATGCTTTGAAAATCTGTCCACTTCAGTAAAAAATGAAAAGTCCGATAGTCTTGCCAATTAATGGTAAACATAATGAAAAAATTATCTTCACTTTTAATTAGTATTAAATTGTTTAAACTAATCAATTTCCATCAATGTGTAACTTAATCAGTTCTTCTATACTAGCATATACTTATTAAACAAATATTATGTTCGATAGACAAAAAAAATTTTGCTTCCTTAAATTAAATGAAAATTATCTAAAGTTAATCTCAGCAAACAAAAAAATAACTAAAAAGAGTAAAGTGGTTTATTTAATTTAATTTCAAGAAATTATAAATATCAACAACAACATATTTTCGTACATTTTTTACCTATATCTTTAGATAAATCTTTAAACTGATCTTTACAGAGCAGTTTAAAGTAAATATATAATAGATACAAAATTGTGTGCCCACAAATATTTCAAAAAAAAATAGTTTTTGTTATTATTAAGAAAAATAAATTTGTTTTTAAATCTTGAAATAAGTTTTATCTACAAAAATTACCAAAAATTATTCTTATAAAATAATTGGTAATAACTTCAGGTAAACAAACTTAACTATCCTATTCTCAAGACCTTGTTTCCGTTATCCTTAAACAGTAAACATTCGTCCCGTTTTTAGAAAATATTTTTATGTTCACGGATGTACTACATTTTTTGCACATAACAAAATAATTCGTCGAAGAGGATGATATATTTTTTGTAATATATGATATAGTCTAGAGTGGACTCGATCTTTAGTTTAGCAAGACATTCATGCTTTCCAGTCTCTTACATGAGGTTTTTAGTTATTTATTAGTTTTTCATAAAAATAGTGTGTATGCAAAAAGATAAAGCTTATTAGCCGCTATTTGATTTTGTTTCCTTTTAAGAGAACAACAATCTGTTAACCTTAGGCAAATGGTAAATTTTCAATCCAATGAGATTGATTAACAATTTAAGAATAAATTATTTAATAAATTAAACCAGATTATCCAAAAAAAAATTCTAAAAACAGATATGGTTTTAAAGCAGGTATATAATTTTGAATTTACTGACAAGTATCCTTGCAAGTAGAGTATTATTAAAAATAATCCACTTTCTTTCTATCTCTAAACAAAACGTTCAGAAATCTTATTTTATTAATTATTCCATTTATTTTATTATTTCAGGAAGATCAAGATTGGGGTTTTGTTGCTATGGTCTTGGATCGATTGTTTCTTTGGATATTCATGATTGCATCGTTAGTGGGTACGTTTATGATCCTATGTGAAGCACCATCCTTATACGATGATACAAAACCTATTGATGTGGAACTATCAGTGATTGCTCAGCAAATTTACAATTTAACTGAAAAGAAATCTTAAGAAGACTTTCTTGCCTCGATTTAAATAATATTAATAACAGCAATGCTAAAACAGAATGTTAACAGATATGAGTGTTATACCATACAATTATTATAGCTTAATTAAATTAATAATTAATAATCAAACAAACATAAGTTATATTAAATTTTAATCAATTGAAACTATATATGTAAAAATTGTAGACTTTAAGATTTCAAAGATTTTTTAGTCAGTAAGCATACAACATTTTAAATAAATTATATTTAAGTTTAATAAATAGCATTTATTTTATTTATTAATTTAATTTAAAGTATTCTCTTTCTCTCTCACTTGCTTAAGTAATTAATTCAATTGAAAAGTTGAAGTAAACACTGGCCTTACAATATTCACTCACAGCTTTATTGCTAGGAGTATTTTTCTATATTAATAGTCAATAAAATATAAATAATAAATTTACTGCTCAGTTAACTTTATAAACTTGAATGACCCGAATAAAATTGATGGTATAGAGCATTTTATTTGTTTCTTCCTTGTGAAAGAGCTGCCCATTATTCTCTAACAAAAATACTTTCTTATCTATTAATCTATGGTATGTAAAGGTTCTATTGGACATTTATCCATTTATTTAATAGATAAATTTATTAGTATATTTGTTAAGTCACTTTTTAAAATTATTTTGAGCAATGGTAAAATCCCTTAAATTTGACAATTAGATTTCCTAAAATAAATTAAGTCAAGCTGGTAATAAATAACCAAGAACAAAGTAAAATTTGATTTTACTAAAATGTCAATAGAATTAAATCAAAATTAAACTTAATTGAATTCAAGTAATTATTAATTAAATAAAGGAATGAGATGAATCTGATCTGAATTGTTTAAACATCGTAGTACTTGCCTTGAGTGCGATTCGCATGGAGTGAATCATTATCAGAAATCGTCTCAACACTCAAAACTGAAGCTTATGATTTGGGAGATCTTCGATTGATCATTACAGTTTTATTTGAAGATCGAAAGTTTTCGTTAGTTGAAGTGAGCAATATGGGTTTGAAAAAGCTTTTGTGTTTAGAATGAAACAAAAATAAACTAGTAAGAAACTTTGTAAGGAACATTGATAACGTTTTATAAAGAATAAAATAATTTTAAGCCGCGACTTAGATCATCTCCCAAGAATCTAAATCAAAACAAGAAATTAAGGAATGGTAAGTACATGCTTTTTAGCTCCGAAGCAAAATCATATTTTGACTCTTCACATACTTCAAAAACCATTTACAGAGAACGTTTTTTACGAAATGAAAAGATATTAACTACCATAGATAAGCATAAAATAACAGTGATCTATAAATTAAAGTTCAGAAAGAATATATTAAAAAATAATCACAAATCGTTAATTTATTATGATTTGTGATTAAAAACATATTTTTATTAAAAACAAATTTAAATTTTGGCATGTTTACCCAAAATGCTGACATATTGTAACACAAAATCTTATCTTACTGGCTATTTTATGAGAGCTATCAGTAACATTGAAACACCGTGGTTTATCCAAGGTAAGATTTAGGGAATAGAGCCATCACCTGACAATATAGCCTACAAATAATACATACTGAACAGATTGGAAAATAAAGTGGGATTTGCATACTAAAGACGACTAATAAATATTATTAGTCGTAACTAGACAAATATAAGTTCTTTAAAGAATTTGTTCCATAGGAGTAATAAAATCTGTATATTATGAGTTATTTCATTTAAAACTACAATAAGGAAATGTGTGTTTTGGTGGAACATATATTTGCAGAACTAATACTATATTAATGGCAGAAAAATGTGATATACGTATTATGAATATATACGTATTATGCATAGGAATCTAAAATACTTTCATTAAAACATTTTTATCATTTAAAAGTACTAAAAAGTGCACTTGCGGTTGTAATGAACCTACTTTTTCCTAGCCGGGGTAGTTCTCAGCCTAGTCCAAGG